GGTGGCGCATGAGGACGCAACCACAAGGGCGTCCGGTGGAGCTCCCCATGGGGCCACGAACCGTGTGATGGGTGTGCCGACTTGGGTGGCGGTGACGCATGCGAACGCAGCCACTTGGGCCTTCGGTGGGGCTCCGTGTGGGGCCGCGAACCGTGTGAAGGGTGTGCCGTAATGGGTGGCGGTGACGCATGCGGACGCAGCCACTGGGGCCTTCGGTGGGGCTCCCTATGGGGCCACGAACCGTGTGAGGGGTGTTCCGTAATGGGTGGCGGTGACGCATGAGGACGCAACCACTGGGGCGTTCGGTGGAGCTCCCTATGGGGCCACGAACCGTGTGAGGGGTGTGCCGAACTGATGATGATGATGGTGATGGTGATGGTGATGATGATGATGATGATGATGATGATGATGATGATGATGATGACGATGATGATGTTGACGGTGATGCTGATGATGGGGAGAGGGAGGGGGGGCAGCGGGAGGAAGGACGCGGGCGCTGTCTGTTCAAAACACGGACCCAACACTACACAGGATGGTTGGGAACAAACAATACAACATGCACCTCGCGGCTAAATCTGGATCATGCGCGGCGATCCGGCGATCGCTGTCACGTGGTTTTTGACAGGGTCGGCGGGGCTGGTGGCGCGTGGCCTGCTGTGCGCAGGCTCACCAGACACAATGATGGGCATTGGTTTTCGACAATGATGGCGGGGGCATGCTTTCCGATGTGTGCTGTCACGTGCGCAGGCGCACCTGACGCACTCTGCACGTGCCCCGAAGGTGGCGCACCTGGCTCGGTTGGAGTGTGCGGCACACCTTGATCACTCGGAGCACGTGACGCATCTGGCGCACCAGGCGTGCCTGGCACGCTCGGGCCCCAGGGGTGCCTGGCGCGCGTGGCGCGCCTGGTACGTGTGGCGCACCTCGCCCTAGCGTCGCGCACCTGGGGTCGGTTTTGGTTCCCAGTAGCTTTCCATCGACAGACGACCGCTGAACATGCTCAGGGTTGGGTGGTGTTACTTATGTGTTGGGAGGGCGCGTGGGAGCGAGCTAGACGGCTTGCGGGCGGGTGGGTCGCTTGACCCCCACCCGTACCCCCTCCCTGAGCCTGGGAGGGGGGGCCCCCGAGCCGTCAGAGCGTCCAACATGGCCCAATATGGCTCCATGAGGGCCCTCGGCAGCCCAAGACAGCCTCTAGTATGTCTCAAGATACATCAACATCGCTCAAGATAGGATAACCCCCGACATGCCTCCAAAACGGCCCACGACAGCCCCAGGACGGTTCCTTGTGCCATTCCAGCCTTCCAAAGCACGTCCCAAGATGCCCAAATCCTTCAAATGTTGGCTTTTCGCTATTTCGCATCCGATGGGCAATTTGGGCCTTACCATGTCCCCAAGATGGCCCAATACAGCCCCAACGTGTGCCCAAGGCTGCTCCAAAGCTGCCCCAAGGGCGCCCAAGAGGCGCCCAAGAGCGGCCCAAGAGGCCCCCATGAGCCCACCTTGGAGCCTCCGAGGGGGGGGGGGTACTCCAGAATTCGTAATAAAAGGGAGGGGGTCTGGACCCTCCATGACAAGCCATTTCAGACCTCCCCCGTGGGAGAACCCTCCAAAACATCGTCCCCAGACCCCGCCAGGCCCTCCAAGATAGCCTGGAAGAGACCCCCCCGAAATGAGACCCCCCTCCCTTTTATTACGAAATCTGGAGTACTCACTCTGACCCCCCCTTCTTTGATCGATCTCCTCCAAGCTGGCCTCCAGAGGTCCCAAAGGGGCGCCCAGCACCACCAGGGAGACGCCCAGCAGGGGGCCCCTCAAGAGGCCCCCAAGGGGCCCCCACGAGAGACTGAAGAGGCTCCAAGAGGCTCTTCCGAGGCATCAAAGACGCTCCAAGAGCTCCCAACGACCACCAAGACTTCTCCTCCTTCTTCTCCTCCGACCTCCTCCTCCTTCCTCCCCTCCCATTCGGGGCAATAGTCCGTGCGCGCGCACTTCCTGACCATCGCCCTCATCACCGCCAATGCGTCACCGACGTTATCGCCATCGTCAATCGCCGCCGTTGCCGCCGTCACCAACCAATAACCTGTATCACTGGCGCATGGACTTCATCGTATTCACCGTCATCACTGGCATCGGCGCCGTCGATGGCCTTGCCGCCGCCATCGCCATCATCCAACACCACCGCTACTATCATTGTTGCTGCCGTTTTCGGCGCCATCATGACACAACGCCCGCCCGAATCACCAACCCGCGCTGAAGCGCCCGCGCGCCAACGCGGGTTTTGAGGTGCGCTGGGAAGTGCCAATCGGTAAGCGCCATCGCGGCCGCGTCGGTTGTCAAACCAACTGACCGCTCTGCACGCGAGCCTGCGCGCGCCAGCGCGGCGCAGAGATGTTCCAGCCAGGGCCGAGCAATCATCGCAATCGCGGCCGCGTTGGTTTTGTAACACAAGTTGCGGGTGGAAGGGTGGGACGTTCGCGCGAGCGGTAGAGTTGGCAACTCACTAGTGGCGCGGGTTAATTCTCGCCAGCAGAAAACAACACATATCCTGGCGAAGGACCCTGTTAAATGCAGTTGTGAGCACCGCGTTCTGACCATCGCTTCCGTTGGAGCTCCCGATGGGACCACGAAACGTGCGAGGGGTGTGCCGAAATGGATGGGGAGCCGCATGCGAATTGCGCCGCGGAGACACTCGGTGGAGCTCTCTGTGGTGCCGCGGAACGTGTGAGGTGTGTGCCGACATGAACGGGGATCGGCATGCGAACTGCGCCACGGATGCACTGGGTGGAGCTCCCTCTGGGACTTCGAAACGTGTGGGGGGTTTGCCGAAATGAGCGCGACGCCCGCACGCGAGCTGCGGCACGGGGGCGCTCGGTGGAGCTGCCTGCGGGGCCAAGAGATTCGTGAAGGGGTGTGCCGCAACGGGCGTGACGCCCACATGCGAGCGTAGGCCACCGTGGCCGTCGGTGGAGCTCCCGCTGGAGCCACGAAGCGTGTGAGGGGCGTGCCGAAACGGGGGTGGTGGCGCCCACGTGCGAACTGTACCACTGGGACCTCGGCCGGAGCTCCCTATGGGGCCACGAAGCGCGTGAGATGTGTGACGGGACAGTGGTGACGCCGCGTGCGAACTGCGCCACCGGGGCCTTAGGTGGAGCTCCCTATGGGGCCAAATGTGTGAGGGGTGTGCCGAAACGGGGGTGGCGCCCACATGCGAACTGTGCCACTGGGCCCTTGGCTGGAGCTCCCTATGGGGCCACGACGCGTTTTGAGGGGTGTGCTGAAACGGGGGTGACGCCCACATGCGAACTGCGCCACTCTGCCCTTGGCTGAAGCTCCTTATGGGGCCACGAAGCGTGTGAGAGGTGTTCTGAAACGGGGGTGGCGCCCACATGCGAACTGCGCCACTGGGACCTTGGCTGGAGCTCCCTATTGTGATGGGGCCACGAGGAATGTACGGGATGTACCGAAACGGGGTGAGAGGGAGGAAGGAGGGGGCAGCAAGAGGAGGAGGATGAGGAGGAGGAGGAGGAGGAGGAGGAGGAGGAGGAGGAGGAGGAGGAAAGACGCGGGGCACTGTCTCTTCTAAGCGAGGGCCCAACACCACAAGATGTCGGGAATAAGCAGTCCCCCCCCCTCTCTCACGGGGTTGTCGCCCCCCCCCCCCAGGACGCCGCTGCAAACTATATATGGTTCTGCCCCACCGTTCATTTACCGCATGACTTCATACCATCCCAGCTGGGCCGTTCATCGCGACCCCCCGTCCATGTCAGCAGTACAATGCGCCCGTACCCGTGGATCGCATAATGATCGGGAGCGGTCAAGAGGGGTGTGTGCAAATCATGACCGGCGGCATGTGCGCGGCCCAGCGGGGGGGCGAGGGACGTAATGAAATAAGAAGAGGCGCCACGAGATCTGGGGAAATATCATGGCCCCCGCCATGATATCCATCCCCCCCTAGTCATCACCCCCCTCTTTTCCGCCCCCGAAATGACATGATTGTAACAATCTCGTCCAACATCCGCATTCTCATCCCACCATGCGGCGCATCCGTGTGGATCAGACATGCGCCCACTGCGCGAATCCATATCGAATACAGCCATGCGGGCCACACGCGCGCGCCGCCACGCGCGCAAGTCGAAATCCTTCCGGAACTTTCAGTTTTCGAAGCATTTCAAAAAGAACTGTTCAATCAAATCATATATGACAAAAAGAAGAACGTTTCAATAAGACACTGCACAACATAAAAGAACATTCCATAACTATAACAAGAAGAAGACACTGCATAACAAACAATTATGAAGAACATTTCAAGAAGACGCTGCATAACAAAAACGTTTGTCAAATTTCTGGACTTTCCGTACGCGCGCACGTCCTGACCCTCGCCCTCATCACTGCCAGGGTGTCACCACCGTTATCGTCATCGTCAATGGCCGCCGTTGCCGCCATCATCCTTCAATACCTTTGTTCACCGACGCATGGACATCATCATACTCACCGTCGTCACCGGCATCGGTGCCGTCAGTGGCCTTGCCGCCGCCATCGTCATCATCGCCACCACCACCGCTAATATCATCATCGTTGCCGTCGGCGCCATCATAATACACCGCCCGCCCGAGTCACCGACCCTCACTGAAGTGCCCGCGCGCCAGCCCGACTTGTGAGGTGCACTGGGAAATTCCCATCTGTAAGCGCCATCGCGGCCGCGCCGGCTATGCCAATCCAGCTGACCGTATTGCGCGCGAGCTTGCGCGCGCCAGTGCGGCCGCAGAGATGCACGAGCCAGTGCCAAGCAATCATCGCCATCGGGGCCGCGTGGTGGTTTTGCAAAACAAATTGCGGGCAGGCGGGTGGAATGTTTATGCGTGCAGTGGGGTTGACGACTTCAAGTTCTGCAGGCTGGATCACACCTCATAGATGACATTACAAAACTGACGCATCCACAATACAACATCTCACCGTTTGCGGTGCACACTGGTGAACATATTATTTTACGGAATGGC